AAGAGATTCCTCGAAACCCAACTTTTCTTCGCATATATTAATTTTACTTGCTCATACTTTATTCTTATTGCACTTGAGTAAAATATTATGAAAACCTTGATGAAAACTTCACCATTTTAGGCTGCCACAAATCTTACTACTCCATCCCGAATTGCGTGGACCAGCCGCAGGGATATAACTGTGACTGCGGACCCGGATTTTACTGGACTTCCGAGCAATGCGTCTGTGAGCAAAAAATTGCATATTTTAATAGTAAAATGGTATGATTTTAGGGTTTTCCCCTAATTCAGAGTATGCGCTAATTGGTTTCGGCTCCGTTTTAGTCCTTTCTTTACAAAGCATTGATTATTTCTCAATTAAGCCAGCAATTATGGCCTATCGCTTTAATAATCTGAACAATAAAACTAATTGAGCCTATTATTAATAATGAATTTTTCACCTCTACCAGGACTACGATTTATCAACAAGATGCGACATCATTGTACAGCTAGGCTGGGACTAATGATGACTCTATCCAGGATGTCTAATTTTACGTTCTACTGTCTTGTTTGTTACATTCGAAAGGGTTAAATTACATTTCATATTTCACTTCAGTCTCATCAGTATTGCCGGAGGGAAGCTAACCGTTCGAGTGATATCAGCAAAAAACTAGCCACTATCTACTACTTTCTCCAAGCACCTTCGGAACTCGTCTCCTTACCTGTCGAGTCTTCAGCTTGGTCTCAGGCTGACTTCAGGCAGGATCCATCGAATGCACCCCCATACTGCCAACTTTGCCATTGCCATCATGTGTTCTTCAACATCGGACTGAAGAATAAACATACTCCCAGAAATTTCGTAGTTTGTGACTAGCATCATCCTTATTAGAAAGATACAAGTCTGCAAAGGTTGTAAAACGAGGTCGAACTAAATTGAATAAAAATTTTGATTTGCGGCTCAAGATGTGTGGATAGAGAACTATGAAGTAGCAGGATTAGTTTGACCGGAACTCCGATGGCATCAGCTTTCGTGTGATGGACTTCGCTGGAAGGTGAACTGCCAGAGTACTTTTAAAAAAATTAACAAAAACCGAATAAGTAAAGAGGCCATCGGTTTAGAATATTCGCTAGTTCACCAAATGCATAGAAATGAAATACTCCTAACATCTATTTTTGTGAGGGTAAATCGCATTTAGCAGTGGACAAATTAACTTGAATGCTGAATGTGCACTTTAAGGCTATAGAGCCGGAGTCAGCTTCTTGCCCTATTTCTCAAATGGCGAGAATGACCTGAATCTAGTTATTCTTAGAGCTGATTTGGAGAACCACCTAGTTGGGCTGAATTTATTCATTGCAAAATGCTGTATATTGTGTAGATCCATATTTGCTTCTGCCGCATTACCAGGACACTTCCACAAATTACACCTGTTCTGTAATAATTGTGTGGGCCAGCTTTGGCTCTATGCGATGGTCTCATCCCCGGATTACTTATAAAGAAGAGGCAAGCCGCAGGCTCAGTCGTCAAGGCAACCTAGCAGGCCTGGGAGTCTAGTCGTAAAGCTCACTCGCGATCTGAAAGGACCTATTAAAGACCACATAATGCAGTAAATTGGTGCAGAAAATAATTATGTTCTCCGTTTCTTAATGTCTATGACCTGGAGGAACGCACATAGTATGCATGATAATTTCTAGGGTCAGACTATGGAATTGGTACATTTTCAGACATTTCACCGGCATCATAATCGACATCGTCAGAGAGTCTTGTCCCTACTAGCCCTAATCTACAAGGCGTCAGAGACAAGGGTAACCGATCCTTCTTCTTCTATCCTATATTCTCTTAACAATACTTCACTATTACAATTTCCTAGTTGCTATCTAAAGCTGTTTCAAGTGTGTCCTTTTGAGTGGATTTAGTGGAGCCTATTCAGACTCCCTGCTGGTGCCCTCACTCCCTCCTCCCCCTATTGTTGGAGTCTTGATCCAAAAATGTCGTTTAGTCGGCAATCCTCACTTCCAGGTCCTTATTGTTAGGTTGATGAGCCGTGTTAAAGATTCCTTTCGTA